TGACTCTCCACTTTCCCATCCACATTCACTGTCTGAACAACCTGTCCCTTATTTTCTAGTCACGTTGCAATGGGAACTCGCTGGTCACTGATGAGTGTTAGATGTATTGCTAGAAGACCAGGCAGCTAAAAAGACTAAAAATGCACTGTGCTCACTGTAAAAACTGGCTTCTTACATTGTTTCTTTTTATATGGTTGAAGAGGTGGTTGCGCTTCAGATTTTTCACTTTTTTTCTTTTTTTTTTTTAAAAAAGAGGTCAAAATGTATATGAAGTGCATGTTCTCCTGAACTTTTTGTTTGTACATCTTGGTGTCTGATCATCTGCATGGAAGACACAGTAGTGCCCTGTCTGAGCTTGTTCTCTTGTGCTTGGTTGGTATGAACTTTCTCTAGATTGTTGAGTTTTACCCCAGAATAACTTTGGTTAATATTTAGTTATTGGGAGACACCAAAACCAAAACATCACAGAGGCCCTTGGTTTTCTTACAGTTTAAATACAAACAACAAAGCCTTGTGGTTTAAAGTTAATTTGTTAGTGTAAATAAATTTCTTGCCAATGAGTATTATTGTTGTTAGACAACGAATGCAATAAAATGAGAAATCCTGACTCTTTAATAGAATTTGTATTGAGTCCTCACTTTTCTGCCCGTTTGTTGGTCATTCCAGAAGAAATAATAAATGGTGAGAGTGACTGACCAGCTGCTGCTGCCTGCGTTGGGCTGAGAGCGGGGAACACGGACCTTGCCCTGCCTGTTCTTTCCTTCTTTCTGCTCAGCGCCAATTACTGTAATCCCAGCTCTTGGCCAAACTGGCATGATTCACAGGCCCCTGAGTAGATCCTGTTTATAATCTGTAATTATGTAAAAAAAGTTGAAAAAAAAGAAAAAAAAAAGTAGAGTAAGGAAATTGCCTTTTTTTCTTGATAATCAGATGAAATGTAGCGTGCAGTCTTTTGCTGCAGGTTGATGTAGTAGACTGCCTTCACGCTGCTGCTGCTCAGTGTTTCAAAGATCTGGTTTACTTTTGATATATAAAAACATTTTTCCATTTTACACTCAAGCCTAGGTTAGGTTTAATGGGCATTTGGGTCTGCTGACCATGTTTAATGTGGTTTTTTTTTTTATTTGACTTTATCAAAGCATTAAATTAGGGGAAAAGCAGAGGGCGCAGCCTGCCCAGGTTGCATAGTCATTTCAGGGGATTTACATCTGGCAGAATCTAGGCCAAATACTCTGCACTTAATCTGGCTAACCCAGGCTGTCCTTCCCAGCAGCTGAATCACAGATCTTGCTTTCCGCTACTATGGCCACCACCTGCAAGATGACAAAAGAATCTGTCATCCTTAAAATGATTATCTGAATTAAAATAGGTATATTAAGAGGCTGCAGGTCTACGACTGACAGGTAAAATGTGTCTGCTCTGCCGCTTCCTAAGCCTGGAGCCACCGATGAGCGTGTCCGTGGTGTTTGTGCAAGTTGTCGCAGACACCTGCAGCTCGGTTTCTGAAATTCCCAGAACTGCTCCAGACTCTACAGCTTGTGGGAAGCGATGGGTTATCCCTCCTCCAGGCTGCAAACCCAGATTTTCCCTGTGCAGGTTACCTTGTCACTGAGAGGCCAGGCTTGAGGCTCGTCACCCTTCGCTGCTGGTTCTGTGCTGAGGCTGCCAGTGAGTTCTGTCGAGCAGTGATTTCGTGATGCTGTGCCCCAGCACTGCTTTTTTTGCTGCAAAACGCATGTTTGCTGCCTCTGTCCTGCCTGGCCAGCGCTGCTTCAGTTGCCACCTCTGCGCTGTGAGGCTGGAACACCTTCAGAGGTTGGCGATGGGCTCCTGCCCCTCCTTGCCTCAGGTTAAAATTCAAAATTTCACAGCTAGCAACAGCATGTACAAAGTCCTACCTATGAGCTCTCTCCTCTCAAATGCTTTAGGAAAAGGTTCGGGTCATGGCTTGCAGGTGCCTCCATATGCGGGTGCACTGCTCGGAAAACTTTCAGTAGAGGAATGGTTTAAAAAAGGGGAAAAAAGACAAGACAGCTGTGGGTGAATATGTTCTTTATTTTTTTTGAAAGGCTAAATCCAACAAAAAAAAGTAGACATTTTGACGGGATCCAATAGCATGTGAATCTGTCCATTTCAAGATGTTTTAAGCTATTGGAAGACAAATGAATGCTTTGATGGGTTAGTTCACTGCTGAGAAAAATGCTGGCTGGCACACTTGTACGGCCCCAGAGTAAATCCAGGAGACGCAGAGTGCCTGCTTGGTATTAAGGCTGTTACTGCCACTTCTGCAAAATGCTAACTCCTTAGAAAATGGCACTTACTTAATTTACTTTCAAACAAATAGTGGCGCAAGCCTAAAATAAAACTTTTAAAATGCATGATGGCTAATCACAGACAAGTTAACAGTTCACCCTATCCTGATTGTGAGAACGTCCGTCAGAGAAGTTTTCTTCTGCTTGGGCGCTGGGAACGATGGCTGTCCCTTGGATTACAAGTTCCTGCAGGAAAGCAAACCACGCCCCAGCGCAGCTGAAAATGTCCTGCAGGGAGAATTGTTGCTAAGGAAGGAGCAGCAAAGCCCAAGTTACGGTAAATTTTGTTCCTGAGCACTTGGTGCACTCGGCTGCTGCCAAAGGCCAGCAAAGGGATGAGACAAAAGCCGTCCCCGTTCAGGGCTGGCTCTGCTCTGCTTAGAGCTTTCCCTCGGAGAAGGAGCAGTGATTCTTTACACCGGCGGATGAAAGCCATGAGGCTTGTTTGTGCTGGAAAGGCGAGGGGCAGGAGCCCAGAGGTGTCAGCACACGCATCCGTGGCTCAGGAACCTCAGCCCGTGTAACACCTCCTCTCGGCCAGAATGGCAAAGCCCAAAGACAAACGAAGGTTCTATGTGATCTGTCTCCTGCCTCAGTGCTTGGGCCACCACAGAGCAGGTTATTTGCTCTATTTTGTAGCCCTCCCGTGTTTCCAAAGCACTGGACTTCCCATGTAATCTCCAGATTAGGGAGGTCCGTGGCTGGTGCTGAAGCAGATCGCAGGGGGAACAGCAGAGCCAGAATAGCAATGAGCACCCAGAACTGGCTCCTTCTCCTCCTGAGCTGGCATTTCACAAGGAGCCTGCCTTTTTTTCTCCACACAGTGGGGGAAGAACAGCGGTGAGGAAACATTGCCCCATCAGCTGAAGGCTGCAGAGGGGATGCTGTGCCCCGGGCAGCATCTGTGTCTGGTGACACCCTTCGGAGGGGCAGCCAAACTGCTGAGCATTGCCAGCGTAGCGGCAACCCCGGCAGGAAAGCCACCAGCGGTAACACCTAAAGGCTTCAGGTGGATGTCAGCATCTCTCACAAAACCGGAGCAATGCCCTGAGGTGGGAACTCAGGAGCAGCAGGAGCTGCCCTGCGGTAAAGGACAGCTACACTAATGACAGAGCAGCTCACTCGCAGGCAGGAGACCAAGTGGTGGTTCATCCAGGAGCTTCCAGCACACTGACATCTTGCCATGAGCACTGGGGAGCACAAAACTGATTTCCAGCTTCAAAGAAGGCTCAATTCAGTTTATTGCAAGTGATTGCTAACTATGGAATACTGCGTCCAGCTCTGGAACCCCAACCCAAGAAAGACACGGAGCTGTTGGGGCGAGTCCAGAGGAGGGCAACCAAGGTGGTCAGAGGGCTGGAGCATCTCTCCTGCGAGGACAGGCTGAGAGAGTTGGGGCTGTTCAGCCCGGAGAAGGCTCAAAGGGGACCTTACAGTAGCCTTCTAGTACTTACAGGGGGCCTAAAAGACATGAGATTCAGATGAGATATAAGGAAGAAATATTTTAGAACAGATGTGGTTGAACACTGGCACAGGTTGCCCAGAGAGGAGGAGATTTAAGGAAGAAGTTCTTCACCCTGAGGGTGGTGAGGCTCTGGCACAGGTTGCCCAGGGAGGTTGTGGATGCTCCACCCCTGGAAGGTTCAAGGCCAGGCTGGATGGAGCCTTGAGCAGGCTGATCCAGTGGGGGATGTCCCTGCCCAAAGCAGGGGGGTGGAACTGGATGATCCTTGAGGCCCCTTCCAACCCAAACCGCTCTAGGATTCTGTGATTGCTAACTGACACCGTTGGAAAACCACCCGCTGACGGACACCTGGACATGTCTTTCAGCAGCACACAGCGTTACGGGTGACTGCTGCTGGGTGATAACCGTGAGGCAGGTGCTGCTGCACAGAAGCACGGTGGGAATCGGCTCCGTACAGACTGGAAGACAAACACGGAACATGCGTGAGCAACACCCAGGGGCAGTGACTGGGGCAAAGTGCCCAGAAATGCTCCCTTTGCTGTGGCAGACAACAGTAATCACTAACGTACTTTTCACTAAAGGTGTTTGGGAGTTGTTTCCCACTCTTTAAGGAAAAAAAAAAAAAGGCTTTTTTGATCTCCCTGTGGAAGATTTTGTGAGAAGCCACTCGCAGGTGCTGCCCTCCTCTTTTCTCAGTAGGAATAAGACAAATTTGTGAAACTGAGGTAACATTAGGAAATGGCTTAAAGCGGGAAAAGGGAAGAAACTAGACTCAAATAACGTTTATTCTCCTTCCAGTTATTTCAGAAGCATTAGGGAAAGCCAATAGGCAGGTTCAGAAGAAGAACCCTTACCACAGTCCCTGGGAAAGCCCTGGGGTCGGTGACATGATAGCAATTCTCATTTACAAAACCAGTTTTCTCTGGGGGAAAAAAACCAAAAGCAAAACCAAAAGAAAACCAAAAAAAGGCCAAAACCAACCAGAAATACAGCTGCAACAGATAATTCAATGTCTGACAGTTTAGTCATTTGTTATCTGAATTTTGAGATTACCCTTTGATTACGACACAGGATCCTCCCTATTACACGAATAATTTCTCACCTTCAATTCTATTTCCTGCTTAAAATTCTCATTTTGGAGAGGAAGGCCAAAATATAACCCCAAGACTCTAGTTAACCCTTATTGGAACAGTCCCGTTGTTAGCGATCCTAGCAGATCCTGCCCACAGCAGCAGACCTTACCCGCGGGCAGCTACAGCTCGCAGTAGAGAGCTCTGTGGAAGACGGTGCCGACGAGCAGCTTTCCCTCGTGGACAGACGCCGCCGAGCTCCCCTGCAGCACGGAGCCGTCGTCGGCGTAGACGCGCGTCACCACGGGCTCCTCCGAGAGGATGTTCTGGATGCGCAGGACCTGCCAGAGGAGGAGGGAAAACATCGGCTGAAGCAGCCGCGGGTGAAAATCCTCCCCAGACAGAGGGAGCATCAGCATAATTAACAACTGATTATTTTTTTTAAGTGGTTAAGCCCATCCAGGCAGTCAACACCAGCACTAGGAATGTGCAGTTTTTTCCAGCCTAAGAGTTACTTAGCATCTTATTTCCTGCTTTTCTGAGACAAACTGCCTAGTATCATAAATCTACTGCCGTTGAACACGGGAATTTTGGAAAGGGTTTTATGGGGTGCTTCAGACAAGGCTGAAATCAAACGGACACCGATCAGACACCGGCACTTGCGCACCTGATGCCAACACCTCACTGATTTCAGAAGGAAAGAAGAATGACGGTGTCATCTACTGAGGAACCACAGCCAAATCATTCCAGTGTGACCGTTTCTGGCCATGCTTTGCCCTCAGACAATTATTTTTTTGCTTCACAAAATGGTGCTGGCTCGGTAATTAACACAGTTCATCGAAATCTGATTGCTGCCCAGCAAGCCGCCTGAGAAGTCCAGAATGACTGAGCTACCAGGTGGAAATTATTCAGTTGTCTCCCAAGGATCTGGATAGGTGTTGGTGAGGGAGCACACACTGTGCAGGCTATCCACCAGAGAGCAGAAGCTATAAGCTGGAAGCCAGCTTGGTCTTTGCTTTCGCAAAGGCTGACCACGAGCTTCTCTATGTAATGTGGCGTTAAATTACATCAGGGTGATGATTTGAACAGAGCAACTTTCTGGCCCAGGCATAGCCAAGAGACCAGTGACACCTCCCAAAAGGCACCTCAGAGCCAGGCAGATTTTCTGGATCGTAGTATAACAGCTTCATTCCATTGGGGTGACATCCTGTCCAGATGTCTCCAGACTGAGGGTCAACAGACAAGTTATCGAGCAGAGTGTCCAGCTGCAGCGTCTGTCCGACACAGAGGAAAAACAAGAAAAAGAGAAGTTAAATCTACCAGAAGTACTGGAAGAAAACTGTAACGTAACCAACAGACTTGTCCGGGACTCTCATCTGACACGGCATAACTTAGGCTGATTTTTTTAAGAAATGTTTTTTCTCCCAGAGTTGGTTTTGTGGTGTTTTTTTTTTTTTTTTTACCCCACAGTATGCTTGGCCCCCTCCTCTGTGCCATGAGAAACCTGCGTGAGGCTCCCAGCTTCCCTCATCTGCTCATTCACACCTGGTGTGGATTACTTCAGTGCTCTGCGGTCTGACGGAGTCAGATCTCCCCTGTGGTTCTCCAGGACCTGAAGCAAACCCTCAGACCCCTCTCTGGCTGCTGGTGTGAGGCTGGAAGACCCGAAGCTCCGTAACGGGGTGCACAGCATCTCTGCAAACCCACAGCAGGAGCCAGAACTTCACAGCCCATCAGGTGGAAACCTCAAGCATTCACGGGGATCGATCACGCGACTTTTTTTTTTTGTGGAACAGCAGCACCTTACCTTCACACGGGTTAAATTCCAATTAGCATGTTTTTCCATAACATGGACTTTATGATCAAATATATCTGCCACGTAGATGTACCTGCAAAAGAAAGCACCTCTTAGGAATGTGTGTGAATAAGCAAAAACCCAGAGCAGCCAATTCCTCCCGTGCGAGCCCAGCTCTTGGCGTGAGGGACGCCAGCTCCCGTTCTCCCACCGCAACAGACGCTGCAAGCAGGGCACAGGGCGCTGAATTGAAGCCAGCCTGCTTTGGGCCAGCTCTTCCACTACAGCACTGCAGCAGCCCTTGGATCTCGAAATCCACAAATGCCATTTTTTTTTAAAAAAAAACAACTTAAGATCACCTGTCTACACCACAGGACTGCTTAATTCAGTTCTGCAGACTGTAGAGCATTCCCCACCTGCAGCAATCCTGCCTGGTTATTGCTTCAAGCAATGTACACAAACTCCTGTATCAGCTGTTTAAAAATGCAGCAACCTTTGACTTTATTGCATATAAACTGCCACACAAAGCAGCAAACGTTCCCTTGGGTTAAAGAAGGAGACACTGTTCTTCACAGCCTCTGTATCGCTCGCTCTGTGCAGGCAACATCGTGCCTTAGAGAGGCCAGTTCGGACACTTCACCACAGAGGCACCACATGTACAAATTAGAATTTTGAGATTTTTTTTTGCACAATTAAACAAAATTTAAGGCAAAGAGAAACTTACTTTCTGTCGGGTGAAATGTTAATGCCATTGGCTGAATAAAACCCAGCTGCTACTTCTTTAACTTCTTTTGGACTGTAGTAAACAACATTTGACCAAGTTAAACCCAAGAACATCTCCAAGAACATCAAGATGAAGTCAAAGAAGTAGTGGTCATTGGTGGCATAGAAGCTGTCTGGACCCACAGCTACTACATCATTCACACTAAAAAAAAAATAAAAAGAGAGGAAGAAAAGAAATAAATAAAAGAATGAAATGAGAGGTATGAAGGAGCACTGTAGGGCTGCCCAGGATCCAGCCAGGACATGGTCATCCCATAGACACAATTACAGATGCAATTACAGGTGATACTTCAGAGAGCCCCTGAGCTTTTTACATCCTTTCTGCTTCTATTTTCTTTTACATGAGCCAGGACTCAGTGCAGTGCTGAGACCTGAACAGGGCCATAGGGCATCAGTTACAGATCTGTCCATAAGTCCACGGAAATTTTTCTCTCCCTTGCTTATGGTCAAGTGGAAACCAGGAGCTGTGACAACTTCATCTACCAGGCTCTGTTTATCTTACAATCATTTTGCAGTCAGACAGAAAAAAATTCTGTATGCAACAGAAAAAAAAAAAAAGGCTAAACGTAGGCTTATTTTTACAGCGTAGAAAATTCAGAATAGTAGAATATCTGAAGATTCATATCTTCAGTGTCCTGAGAGAAGGTTACACGACAGAAGGAGCACCGTATGCCAAGCTAATCCACTGGCATCAATCACAGCAGCACTTAAGATCGTTTTAAAAAATCTCATTACCAGAAGAGACTGGAGAAACACAGTTTTTGATTACACAGCTAAGAAGTAATCAATAAGAGAAACAGGAAAGCTGGTTAGAAAGAAAATATGTCATATTAATTATACCCTAAAACCTGGATTTAACCAAAGCAGCCTGTTCTTCTGGAAGAAGATGGTGTTTGGCTCCAATACCTTGTCAGAAGGTCGTGTTGAATGGTTTTCAGGTGTACAAGAGAATTGTCATCTTCTACAAATTTAAACAATTCTACTGTGCTCTTCTGATGGGGATGGTTCACAACAAAGAGGTACACGGTGTCGTCTTAAAAAAAGAAATGGAAACAGCTGAATTCTCTGCAACGGTTGGCATGGCCAAGCACCCACAGCTCTGAAGTGGCCTCTAGTACAGAGCACATGTGGCGTTTGATGCATTTGTCATCTTCAGATGCAGAAGGACAAGTACCAAAGTAACACAGGATGCCACCACAACTGGATCCAGACCTCCAGCTACTCTTCTCCCAGGCTCGCTCTCCGGGGACCTGCTGCGTAAACTACATTTTTTGCTATTTGTACCACGGGAAAAAAGAAATCACGGCTTCATCCTTGTGCCCAAGTCAGTGAGTTTTTCAATCTGACACATCACAGTGACTGGTTGCATAAAATAGCCACAGTCAGCTGGGAAGGAGGAGGGCTTGTAGGCCATCCAGTTGGGGCCTATTGGTTTATTTACCGTAACCCCCGAGAAAGCTGAAGGAGCATCCTTCTCCCGTAATCTGTGCGAGGCTGCAGTCCTGCCCGGCCCTTCTGGTGAGACCCTGCATTAGCCACCACTGATTTCTCCACCACCTTCCCTTGTGGGGCGACTCTATGGGGATGCAGGTCACACTGCAGCAATAGTTCTCTCTCGGTATTTGCAGACTTACAACAGCGAAAAACAGAGGAAGGAGATCCTGAAGGGTATTTTACCGGTAGCCAGAGCCTTCTGTGAGAGAACATGGCTTAGAGAAGAGAGCGTGGCTTGGCCACAGAGTACCAGAGATACTGGTAATTCACAGAAATTTGATAATTTACTGTTTAGCCACAAAAATCTCCATCCTGGTCATGACTAGTCAGTGAAGCACGGGTCTCCTCAAAACCCTTGACCTCAGGGTGAGACAGATGTAAACTGGTAAAATAAACTTTGGGTGGTTTTCATCTCCTCAATGTTTCCCCATGTTTTCTTTCCTTTCAATACATACAACATCTTCTTTCTCTCAATACCTACAACATCTTTTTTTTCTCTCAGACAGCTCAAGATATTGTGCAAAGGTGTTTGCTTTAGCAGCTGGCATTTACAAAGAACCCCACAAAGATAAAAAGCCTGAAAACTTTTTTCTCTCCCAGCAAGCACAGGCTGTTGGGGGCTGCATAGGGATTACAGTTCATGCTCTTTAGGCTGAGACTTGCCACCACCTTAAGTTAAATGTCGCTTTACCTCTGTCTACATAGATGCTGATTCCATGAGGGCTAAATGACGCCAGATCAAATCCTCGGCTGATTCTCAGTCCCACTGCTCTGGGCTTGTCTTCATTCAAATCCATCAAGAATATTTCACCTGGTTTTTCCGGTGCAAAGCTCTTCATTCCTGGATATTTCAAGCCCTGTAAAATAAAAACATAAGAAAAAAACCCAAATAATTCCTGGACATAAGGTAAATGGAAGTATCACAAGGGAGAAGAGAGAAGAAGAGAAGAAAAGAGAGGAGAAGAGAGGAGAAGAGAGGAGA